TTGAGGCTGGTCTAAAAGTGAGCAATTGACAAGGACCACATAACTAAAAACCCAACAGTTTACAGTCTGCTATAACAGCATTTTTTGTCTTTTAGGCTATTTTCCACGGCCACTTTGAGCGATATGTGGGTGCCATCACAACACATTCGTTTCTCTGATCTGTATGATCTTCTGTCTCATCTGGGCCCACCTTAGCTCAACCGACTGTCCACCGACGGCCCAATGACTGTCCACCGACGGCCCAATGACCGTCCAAAAACCTTCCGGCAACCGTCCACCTCTCTGCTTATTTTTGCACTAGTAAGGCTGAGTTTGAAATGCAAAACCACATTGAGAACACTTCAAATGTTCATAAAGTTTAAGAGCAGAACAAGAGATGTTGTCTTTGTTATTCCATAAATTATTCTTCCTTGCTAAAATATTAATATACAATTACAGTTTCGTTACACAATCGAGTGCTAGTAGCTGCATTGAGCTGTGTCAAACAGAGACCAGAAACATGCTACAGTCTTCAATTTATGATGATATGATATTGAATCAATTGACAACAAATGTGTTTTTCACAAATGTATCAGTACTCACCAAGACCAAAAATTTGATTCTTAAAATGAGCAAACTTTACTATTTGAAATTAAAATAGTATTACCAACCTCTGTAAACGTATCACACATTTTCCAAAGTTATTTGGCATGACAGTGTGATACTGCATAAAGGATCAAAGTTGCAGTGAAACCTTGTTATTAATTATTCACCGAGCCTTGTGCTACTGTTGCACCTCAGCTGTCTAAACCAATGCCCTTCAAACAACCCTTGTGTATTCACAGCTCAGTATCATGCCCCTCAGCATGAGCAGAGCTGAACAAGAAAAGAACCCCCGCCCTCACAAGCCTCGCAGGGTGCCGTGCAAATCAATGGGTCAATGGTCAATCACCTCCTTCAGCACTGAAGATCTCCAGCAGTGACCAATAGGAGATGGATAGAGAAACACAGCTGGACTCAGGACATATTTAGTTTCTAACACAGTTTGTGTTAACAAGCATCCCAGCTGTGTCATTGTCTGAAGAATGAACTCTGGAGCAAATAATACGAGACAGAACTGGCTTTGCAGATCTCACACTGAGCAATACAAAATGTCAATTCATAAACATAGAAGAGATGGGTTTTCTTTCATTCTCTTTTATCCTGCAAAAAGCTTGGTTTCCTCTGTGTCCATATGTCAAAGTGCTTGCCTCTCTGGGAGTGTCCAGGGCTTTCCCCTCAGTAGTTAAACCTTCACACTGACTCTTGATTGCAGGGTGGAAAAGGGCTTTCGTTTTATGACTCAAGATCTCAACAGGGAACTCGCCATGGCAGCTCATATAATATCCTAAATAGCTTTAGTCATATTGGATTACATGCTGCATTTTGCTGCAGCAGTTAGGGAACAACGAGGCTCTATATGCTTGTAGTTGACAATCCCCGTGTGTAATGTACATTTTAAAAGCTATTACAGTAACACACATCATTCATCATGGTCACAAATTAACCCTGATGCAAGTGACAATTGTGACTCTTTATAAGTCTCTGGGCTTTAAAACATGTGTAGTTGACATCCAGCAAACCAATGATTTTTTTTATTTTTTATTGAGTCAGGCACAATGAGTTTACATTTATACAGTCAATATTTTTATTTATTTTTCCCCTTTCCCCCCCTCTCGGTCCTAGTTAGTAAATTAACTAACTAAATAAAATAGATACATGTATAGGTAAAAGTAAAGTAATGTAGAAGATAATATTAAAAGAAAATGTATAGATAAGGGAAAAAATAATAGTAACAGTAATACTTGTACCCATATACTCACATATGTGTACCCACATACACATACACATACGTGTGTGCACATACCCACACACATGTACACACATACACATACCTACATAAATGTATACAAAGACAGAACAAATACATTAAAAAAAAAAATAAAATAAAATAAAATTAATATAACAAAACAAAACAAAAAAACATACACATACATTTGTAGTTCCCCTCCTTTCTTCTTAATTTAGTGTCTTAAGTTCAGCTATGTAGGCTATCATAGAGCCCCAGACAGATTGAAAGTCAAAAATGTAATACTGGCAGCAGCCCAAGATTGACAGCAGTTTGTTTTCAGTATTCATGGTAATTGACGTATATGAAGAAAAGAAAATTAGAATCAATCAATATGTGCCAATGTCAAAAGTAGTGCATGTTACCCCAATTGCAATAAATTGTGTCATTTTAGTGACCACGATGAGATTTTTCTCTAATCTTTAGTATGTTGAACTTGCCTGACCACTCCTTTACCATAGTTTAATGTCCATTGCAACTTTATTTCCAGGCATTAGCCATACCATGCTACAGGATCATACAATAATATGTTTGCTTACAGAAGCTTTCTTCACATGCCTCTGCAACTTAGCATCTGTATGTAAAGCACCGGCTTTCCACTAAGCCCAATGCAAAAACATCCATGGGAATATAAGACGCCCAGAGCAACTACAGCTGCACCACGTACCTAACTTCATATCTCACTAAAGTTATGCAACAATCATACTCCTTTCAACATTATATTTTCCTTAACCTTACCGATAGTTTTGTTTCCTAAACCTAAGTAAAGGGTTTAACCACCACATTAAAAAAGGGGTCCTGACAAAGCGGCTGCATCGAACAAACTGGAAGTGGTTGAGGCACTGCAGTTCTATGTTTTACACCTTTATTGCATTTCACAGATTCATGATAGTCTGAAAAAAGTGATTAAGGATATTAATTCAGTGTGAATGGGTTAAACTGACACTTTGAGATGATATACATTGCTGTAATGTTGAAGTTGTTATTACCGCTAAAGTTTGTCTTGATGCATTGATTGAATATTTAGTGGTTTGACATATCAGATTTGTATGTTTAAGTAATGTCTGTGGTTGAAGGATGTTACAAGAGAGAGGGAAAGACAGCATCTCAAGACATTTCTCAACAATAGCCCGGTGAATGAAGTTCAAAAGAAATAATCTACCGTTAATGTAATCAAACTTTAGACATTGAGCAAGTCTCCAGGACTCCTGCTGTGAATATCAATACAGCTCCCCATTCCAATTTATGAAAAATGGCAATCCCAGATTCCTGTTTTAGCATTTAGTATTTGATAGTAAAACAGCTGGTACAAGTTGTTATCCTTTGGATTTTCATGAAAATAAACCCAATTTTTGATGTCAAGTTTTTTATCTATTTCATTCCTTATAATTTGAATTATATGGTACTGAAGAGATATAAACACAGGTTGATTGAAAACAAATAAACACACCACAGTCCACCAACTGCCAGCCCGCAATTAAACTAACATCCACCCTGCCATCTTTGTGCGGTTAGAGCTGAGATAGTGAGACCATGTGAAGATGCACTGAGAAGTATAATCACACTGCGTCATCCACATCAATCATCACACTGTTTCTGTAGTACAACAGAGGACTTGGCAAGCTGACCTCCCTGAGGGTGTTACCTTTAAATTGTTTCTGAATCCTTGGGAATACAGTCCTTTGACAGACTGTGTCCATGTGTAAAATGGGTGTAATAAAAGTGCAGTAACAGTGTAATATGGATGTTGTAAAAGTGTAAAATGGGTATGATAACTGAGTAACATGGTTGTTATACTGTATGATTATAGTGTAATAGTGCTGTTTTAATGTATGATTTGGCTTTAATAACTATGTAACATGGGTGTACAAGTTGTGTAATACGGTGTATGGTCTGTAATAGGGGTGTTTTAATGCATAATATGGGTGTAATAACACTGTAATACAGGTGTAATGTAGAAATGACCAATCAATTAATGTTACATCATATTTTTGATTGAAAGGTTAACTAAGCCGATCTTCTGTCTGATCACAGAGAATCATTCAAATGTTAATTACCCAAAGGACTGAGATTAAGTGTTTTCTTAATCCTGCACTTTTTAAACTTTTAAAAGGGACAAAGTGAAAGGTGAACGAGGTTGAGTCTGCTGGATCGCAAGGTTCCTTTAGCCTCTAAGTTTCTCTATCCACCTCTACTGAAATATTTCCACATATTTTCTGAAGAACACGCCAGGAATAACATGTAAAATGTGATCTCTGTCACAGTACAGTGAAAGCCTGTGTTCTTTCTAAAATGAGGTGGGTGTGTGTCCGGGGAGACTTTTTATGGCGTGAAAGTTTGCACATTACAGTTACTATGGGAACTGGGACTTTGTGGTTATTCGAGTGGCGCCCTAATTAGTTGGAAAGAAAGAGAAACTTTAGAGGGGAAAGAAACAGCAGTGAGCACATGCACTGGAGAAGTAAGCAGGGTGGTGCATATGTGTGCATGTGTTAGAGCAATTATGGTGCAAGTTCAGGTTGAAGGGTGAAACTGCCTTTCCCACCAGGGGGCTAATTAGGAGTCATGACGGATTGCTGGTTACACGGCACTGTTCATTTGCAGCGTTCTCATGACTCACCTGATCATCTCAGCTCTGTCTCCTTCCTTAAATCCCTGCAAACAGGATAATCTACCCACAGGGAAAACTGAGAATGACAGGAGAGTTTATGCACATCATGCATCTGAATTCAACATCTGTCCATTGCTGTAATGAGGGAAATTATATATTTTACTCATGGAGCGATTGTAAAAATATGCCCTGAAAGGCTGCAGTGCCGGAAAATTAGACTAAAAACATTGACCAGACACTTCAACTGACATCATAATTATAATATCATATTCCAGAAATGCTCAGAGGCAGAATTTTGACTCTCAAGGTAATCATTATCACAAAACAGCCCTCTCTTTGAGGCCGCAAATCAACAAATAATGAAAATACTCAAATCTAAAGAGCTTTAGTAATGGTCCCTGGCGGCTGATATCATCAAAGTGTGTCCCTCTGCCTGTCTGTTTGTGAGGCCCCCTATGACGCGTGTCTGAGTGTGCATGATAAGTAGCATCTGAAATCCGGCCATCTGGATCACGGGTGTACCTTGGCAGCCATGCTCCACTAATCACCCTCTGTAAACATACAGTAGTGTATACGTAAGCCGTGATGAGTCTTTTGCTAAAGCCCGAGGATGGCAGTGTACATTCTCCTTGTCTTTTGATACAGATGGCATGGCTAGATAATTCGTTGTCAGAGCTCCCCCGAGGGGCCTCCTCTGTTTAGATTCAGGTCTCTCAAACCCATGTACCACAGCCATAAAACAGTGCAAAGTTAGTGATGTCCTGAGCCTCTTTTAAGAGACAATTACGTAATATGTGACAACCAATCATCCGCTCTGAACTTCTGCCTTCACTTTTTCATACTGCAGAACCCCCGGTGCACAGACAGCCTCCTAATAGCATTATAATGGTGGCTATACATAACATAGTGACTGGCAAAATACACTGCGATGACCTAAAGAGATATTGATTTAGTGTAAAATATAAGGAATGTGGCCTGCTAAACCCAACATCTTGTTAATTTAATGAGAAATAACAGAATCATTTTTTAGCTTTACGTCAAGGGATTGGGAGAGCTGCAGGTCATGAATCTGATCTTATTCAAAACTGTGGCAGTGTGATCACAGTTACTATGCAGCCTGTCTGGGTGGTATGGGCGGACAGCCTATGCACTCTTTAGATCAGTTTATTGTTTATTCTGATGCAAAAGTCAGCACTGAAGCCACTAACATGCAATCTATGAAGCCCTTTGTCGTCTCCAACTGAGAAAATTGATGTTGAATAAAGGCTACTCCTTTTTCAGGGTCGTTGCTAAAAGGCATAAATGATTTTGGAATTGGGACCAAACTACATGTAATTGCGCTTTTTGTGTATTCTGAGCAAGCGTTACAGCAATTCAGGAAAACTACAACCTTTCACAGTTCAAGCAAAGCAGAGCTGCCAGATCTCTTCTGAAAGAAATACGGGACAGAGGGTGGAGGTGCTTTCTAGTTTCAATACAAAGCAGGTGTGAAACGGTTTACATAATAGTCTGAATCCTGCTTTATGAAAGCTGACAGATGTATGCAGTGAAGAACAACTTCATAGTAGATAAAAATAAATCCTACATATTTAAGTCCAGAAATCAATAAATTTTGTCATTTTTTAATATGTGGTTCTTGGTGGCATACAGTAGATGCAGGGCTCAGGATGAGCTGCTGTTGAGTGTGTGTTAACCACTAACACAGTTGCAGGGCTGGAATTACAACATTGGACACCATTTAATTCAATAAAAATGTTCTAAAGAGGAACAATATTACTACCCAAGCTAACAAGCTTGTGGAGGAGAAGACGACAGCCTTCACGTGGCCTCCTCTGTGAGTAGCAAGAAATGGTGCAAGACCAACTTGCGAAACGAATGTCGCCAACCAAACGTCGAGCTGGTAGGCCTAGGAACGGCGGACGGGCAGTCATCCCGACCGTCGATAACCAAGGCCTGGCAGTGCTTCAACTCAATGCCGAGGGCCTAACCACCGCCAAACTCGAGGTTGTGCGTCACAGGACGCATTGTACAGAGCAGCGGCCTACGCGACGAGCTCGCAGAGACACAAAGATATTACAGGTGCCATTACATTTCACATCGCTAAAGATATGTGCCCAGTTAGCACTGTTAGCAACCAGGGCTTTAAGCAACTTGTCAACACGTTGGACAATCGCGGTTACGCGATGCCGTCTCGGTATATTTCAGCAGGTCTGCGCTGAAATACATATTTACTGTGAATGTGTGCAAAAATGTATGGCATACTGTATAGCTGTCTAACAGAAGTTAAATGAATTTCTCACTTATTCTGACAATGTACTTAACCCCAAATAAAAGAACCCAATAAAAAGAGTTGTTAAATAATAGTGAAGTCACGTTGTAATAACAATAACTCACCTCTCTCTCGTTTTATTTTTGAGCTTTGCCAAAAGCCACTGTGTCAATGTTGTCCTACTTGGGTTGCCGTCCGGAGTTGTCCAATACGGCGGACCATCTCGCACATGCGCACTGCAGAGCAAACGCGACTGGTTGTAACTGCCCCTCCCCATCGTTACCTTATATTGTGGTAAAACTGTGTTGTAATTGGCTTTTAATAGCTATCGTCGCAGCGGACCGTTTGTGGAACCATTTGTTACTTTCTGCAACATATCGTGTTACGGACTTCATAGAGTATTATTGATCGTTTGATTTCAGTACATGTAGGTCGACGTGTGTATTTAGGACTTCTATGTTCAGTATAAGAGCGTAGTTACGTAGTTTGCGTAAAATTATCGGTTTATCATTGAAATTTTATGCCGTAAAATGGTGCGCTCTTATTTTGCTTCAAGCCGGTAACAAAAGACGTCCCTCTTTACACTTCTAGTGGCACTGTATCTGCGTCGGTAACCTTACTTACACTTTTTTTTTGCATCCCTAGAATGGCACAAGTGCTCCGCAAAAGACAATCTTACAGGTGCAGCAGACTTTAGAGCGAGGATGCTAACACCTGTTGCAATCATAATGTGCAAAAAAAAACACTTGACCCAACACAGTGAGGACAACTGTGGTCCTGACCGCATAATTCTATTCTTGACCTATGTCGCACCGCTCTACCGAGCGAGTAATTGCAGGCACTACTCCCAAAACGAGTGAACCGCGACGGTGATGGCTAGATCGTCGAGACGGGCTAGAACGTCACGGACACGCCTACGCTACCG